TCAGTGATCAAAATGGTGGTTAAGCATTAGAATGGGCGCGTTTCGTCCCCTCCCCGTCTTCTGTCGGTATCGATGGTTGTTTCCTTGGACAGGGCTATTGCCCATGGCGACCCCACTGCAAGACGAAACCAGGCAGGGATTTTCGCCGTGTGCAAGCCCTCGTTCGGCCACCCCTTGATGCGTGCATTTGTGTCTGACATTTCTTCGTCGCCGTCTGACACTCCCCTTTGCTTTTTCCGACGTTTTTTGTTGTTTTGAAAGTGCCATTGCGCACTCGATTGATGCCTTGTCATCCACCTTCCCCGTAAGCAACTTCCTCCCTCGGTGCTTGCGTCATTACTGTCCGTTCTTCGCGCTGGCGAATTCCGAGGATTGGGTCATTTCAGGGTGACAGTAAATAAGGGCCAAGTATGTCTTAAACTCAGTCCAATATGATTTATTGTCTGAATATGGTAAAGGTCACGTAGCATAAAGCCAGAAGTCAGTGTATCTGTGTGCTAGTTAGCGGAAAGCGATAAGAATATACTCCAGTAACATTTGTTGTTTTTAAGTAATAAACCTGCTCTGTCCGATGTGTGCCTTCCTTCTTGTTTATTATCATCATCATCATCATCATCATCATCATCATCATCATCATCATCATCATCATCATCATCATCATCATCATCATCATCATCATCATCATCATCATCATCATCATTTATTCATCATCATCATCATCATCATCATCATCATCATCATCATCATCATCATTCATCATCATCATCATCATCATCATCATCATCATCATCATCATCATCATCTTTCATCATCATCATCATCATCATCATCATCATCATCATCATCATCATCATCACATTTTCAATACTCGCTCACCCAGTCGTGCTTCTTTCATTCATTAAGATTGCCGGCAAAATATTTGCGAAAGATGACTTGTACGGTCGTCTAAATAGGACACGGGAATAGGAACGCCCTACCCAATTAAAATCGGTGGCTTTGTGACAAATTTCAGGAAAGATAAATATTCCCGTGTTTTAACTCTAACCCTAAGATAAAATTAAACTCTAACCTTCATCTTAACCCTAGCTCTATCCGAAACCAAAATCCTACCCTAGCCTTTAACATGACCCTGACCCTAATCCGAACTCTGACCTTAACCCCAATCCTAAACTGAACCCTAACCCTTGTCCTAACCATAAACTTTATTTCTCCAGTATGTGGCGTAAAGCCACATGTATTGTGAGCGGTTCCTGTCCCCGTATCATGTTTAGGCAGCCATACAAGTCATCCTTACCAAATATTCTGTTAACACCAAGGACAAGGACCGGACACGATCCAGTAAGAGGACCTTACTAGGAGTTCATTCATGTTCCTTCCGATTCCTCCTTCTTGAAGCCTGCACGACAAGGTTATCTGACTTCCATGCTAGTCGACATTTGCATAAGGCAAATACTTTACACGATAGACGAGAAGGTCGTGAACATGAACTGTGTTTTCGCATCGCAATGCTTTTTAAAGTAGGGAAGAGGGACGATGGGCAATGTGAGTAGGTTGATACAATATTGTTTCGGGCTGATTTTGCCTTCATTCAGCAAATCGTAAACTCGACTAATAACTGGGACCGGACACAGAGATGCGCCCGTCCACAGAT